CTCAATCACAGTAGTGGACAAGGTTTCCAAAACCTCGCGTTCATTAAGAAGATACTAAATCTTCCTATGCCAGATGTCATAATTGGTACCATCTAGCTTTTCGTTGGAGGACAAATCTCCAATCATGGATTTAGTTGTCATCTACAGGTATATAAAATGGATATTAGGCATGAGGTCAATATAATTAAATTATCAATTTTATTTTTGTTTATGCCATGAGTTCGAAAATTTCGCCAAGCTCATAATCATCACAAATAACACAAACAAGAATAAATATAATTTAAGTAACCTTATTTTAGTGAAACATATTCATTTATTCATGTTATTGTTTAACAAATAAACACAAATATAAATATCACAAAGATATTTAAGTCTCTTAACATGAATAACACATAGTCATGTATCATAATTATAAACATCACAAAGATATCTACTAAGTCTCGTAACATGAATAACATATATTCATGTATTGTATTAAATAAATATAAACATCATAAAGATATTTACGTCTAGTAACATGAATAACATATATTCATGTATCATATTAAATAATTATTTAAATATCACTTAGATAATTTAAATAATAATAAGAAGTCACACAATATTACTAAAATATTGATTTATTCTTTTCATCATAATAACAAATATTATGATAATTTCAAAATAATCTTTATGTAATGGTAAACATGAATACCATATAAATATCATAATAATAACAAATATTATTATTAGTAAAATAATATGAAAGAAGAAGATATAATAAAGAGATTGGTAAAATCATTTGTATCTTCTTCACATTAAAATCTTTATTTATACATTAATTAGGCAACAAAACCTAATTTATTCCCCCATATCAATTTTTTTTTTTTTTTAACTCATCTTCATGATCACAAATTCATGAATGACATTCATTCTATATTTAACACTTAGTTAATCAATAGAATGAATTTTAAGTAACAAATATATAAATATATTTGTTTTACAAAAAAATCGTCGGAGGAATAAACGGGCTCTGATACCACTGTTAGTGGTTTTATATAACGCATATATAAATATATATATAGGACTGACCTTTATGTAGCGGAAGCGATTACTTGCCCGTATATCTTTTATCCGACGGCTACTAGAGTCGTCGGTATCCTCCACGTTCTAAAACCCGAGCCGCCTTGATGGTTTCGGCTCAACAAGAGAAAAGCACTATATAAAGATTATGTATTTTCTATAACTTGTTTTCTTGTCTCGTATTGTTCACTTTTCAAGATGCACACAAGCACCTTATTTATAGTTGTCTTAATACAACTATTAACTTAATGAAGACATGACTTCACACATAATGAAGACATGAATTCACTTCATAACTCACTTCATAACTCCATACATAATGGAGATGAAGTTGTAACACCACCACATTTAAGTGGATGTTACCAATTGATGCAACATATCAACAATTAAAAACAATAGTATAAATGTTTTTTTTTTTCTTTTATAACTCAAACGGAGTTTCGTATCTACCTTTGTATGGTGTTTTCCATTTTATCGAAATAATTGCTTCTCACATAAGCTTTTAGCTTAATAAGAACTTATCGCCTACTCAAGAGTGATTATCTATTCTAACTATTTCATTGATTATCAACTCAATTATTATGTGTCTTAAAGCTACAAAAGTTTTACGATAATACTCTGTGCATTCTTATAGTATATTTCCTACTCGAGTCTACACAAACTCTTAAATCACATTTACCGGTGTGACTTATCTCGAGAGGACTAGTGTATTAAGCCACCTTTTAATATGATGCTTTTTTCACTTTTCATTTAACATGATTTTCATATTTGTTGCATAAATCAATTCTAGATTCACTTATAGTGTTAAAATTTGCAAGTCCTAATTTATCAATAAATTAGAACACTCAATAAATAAGACCAAATTATTTATCTTTTTTTCATCCTATAGATTATAATTTCTACAATAATTGTAAGATGACCTCTATTAAGGCCTACTTATGCTAAGAATACATCATATTTCAATATAACATATTTGCCGATGATCATAAACTAATCTAAATCCAGCCTTATTCAATTAGTGGTCTGAAAACAGGGATGTCTTGGGCATGAAGAACATCCACTATCTCCATTATTCATTCTTAGCACACACTACCTAGTGGTTCCTTCAACACTTGAAGTCAATGGATTACACAAATACTTTCTTCCGTATTTAGAGTTGTAGGACAATGTTTATAAGTGCATGTGTGTGTCAAGTGGCTCTTGTTCTTATCCACTCTAAATGTGAAATTTTAATCAAGTATGTACTCAAACCACGACGAAAAGATCGAGCTCTTGTTCTTATTCACTTTTTGACGTCGGTCTCACTTTTTGGAATTATCAAAGGGCCCTCCAAAATGAAACAAGGAAGGGAGAGAGTTGTGAGATAGAAAAACATCTCTTGTAATCAACTCTTGAAATCAGAGTCATTGAACTTCGGCGGTCTCTCGCCTTGGATTGGAGTGGCTACCATCGAGGTGAATGAATTAGTAGCTGGTGTAGCCGTCAATTGAGCACTTGAAGAAGACATTTGATTTCCTTCGGTTGCCGAGCTCACAAAATTTCATCCTAAGATTATAGTTTGTGTGGTTGTGAATATCAAGAAGATGGATTAAGTAAATGAAGAAAACAAAAACAAAAATCAAAGTCGAGACACATAATGAGTATGTTCTCCTTAAGACAAAATTGCCCCGAATACTCACGGTTAACAACAAATATCTCCAAGATATAACGACTTTTGACTTATATATAGTGGTATTTCAAATAAACAATCATTCGACGAACAATATTATTGTTTGAAATTTTCAAGACTCAACAAAAAAAATCAAATACCACAATATGCTTTATGAAGTTTGAAATGTTATGCAAGAGCTCTTAATTTTCAAGTTTTGAATGATTTCAAGCATGTGGGTATTTATAAATATATGAGAATACCTCCAAGAGGTTTAAGTGTCAAAAAACATCTTTTGGGACGTACCCAACGAGAATGGATGGCATTTAGAGGCTAAAAGACACATTATGGTCACTAAAGGCCGCAACCTTTCGGAGACCGCAGCTAGTTGCGCGTCCGTGCACCGTGGACTTGTATGAGCTCATCCAGACTCGAAATCAAGTTCTGTTTTTTTCGTACTCATCCCCAACGAACCCTTAGGGTTATAGCATGCAAGCTGCATAATCAGGTCTTGTTTGGATTATCCTAACATTCATCAAAGACAGAATGTTTTGTGAATCCAATAGTTTGAGTTACTTAAACTCAATTGCTTCAACCTTACATTTCTCACATATACAACTTAGAATTTATTTCTTATTCACCTTAAAATGGTTTTGAAAATTTTCTAAGTCTTCCACTTACAAAAAATGAAATCGATAAATAAGAACAAAACCAATTTTTATACAGAAATAAGATCCCCTTCAACCCATTTCATTTGATACTTTATATAGAATGATTTTATCATGTGTACATGAATACAACATGATATGAATTGACAGTGAAATAAGAAATAGAATACCTCAATTGCTTTCACATTCCAGGAAACAATAGTTCTCCTCTGTCAACATTCAGTTTCGTTAAGATCGACACAGTTCGACTCATTTAATCTACATTCTAAAAATTCGGAATCAAGGCCATCAACCGAAAAATAATGAGGGATTGCTGTACTAACAGAAAAGAGAACACACCATTGCACAAGATCATCAACAGCAAACCTAATCTGTAACCATAACATAAGTTGCACGTGTGTTTTGGGTTCATGTGGAAACTCTATAAACTATAAGAATACACAAAAGGGATTCAAAACTCTGAGGCCCTTTGCTGCTCAGGCTCTTTACAAGTGTTATAAGGAGGGTCGAACCTCCTGAAGAGCCTGTAAGCAGATATCACGGCCAAAGCAAGGACACAGCAAACGGCAATCACGTGCAGAGCCAGTGCCACTTTCAATCTGCTGCAAAAGCTACCGAATGAACCACAAGCTCGACTCCAAGAAACCAACAGATCGCCATTGTAAGCCAAGTAAAGAAACTCCACCAGTGCAGCCATTGATGTCACCATTAAGTACGCTAATACCTGGTTACAGAGATCAGCTCATCATGCCAGCTTAACAAGGTTATTAATAGATTAGGAAAATGTTTAATGAATTCAGAAGGCAATGATGTCAGTCTTGCACACAGAAGGGGCACATTCAAATATATCATGTCTGTAGTATAACAAATTTAAGCAAACATGGCTTTAAATTTGTAATGCAGAGTGGCAAAACTGTGAATGGGACCTATATTGGAATATCATAATTAATGGTACCACAACAAGATTCAGAAATTTGCATCAACCTAACATACATCTCTCTCTCTCTCTCTCTCTCTCTCTCTCTCTCTCTCTCTCTCTCAAAATGTTGAGATTAAAACCTGATCAGTAACAAAGAAAAGCCATGCTTTAGTGAGCAAGCATCTGAGATATAAAGACACAGCTGCAAATAAGGCATATCCAGCACAAATTGCACTGATGCAGACCATATACCTGTTCCATTAATTTTCACAAATTAATAATGGCAACTGTATACATACAGGGAAACAGTCCCATTACGGAACTATTCCGTCGGGATTTGTCTAACGGAATAGTTCCGTAACGGGACCGTAGAATCTCCCATACATATATGTATGAGAAAAGAACAATAAAAAAGAGTAAGAACAGCACAAAATTAGGGAAAAAAAAAAAGAAAAAAGGGGATTTCTTACTTGAGTCCAATGAGATTGCTGAACTCCAATTTGCCATAGTCACTGTTATCCTGCTTGCTGGTGACAGCAATCCATATAGACCCAACATTAAATGGAATTAGAAACAACCTAAGTGAAAAATCCAACAGTTTTAAATGGCCACAGCTAAATCCCATCTCACAATACAAATTAAGAACCAAACAAGAAACAGAAAAGAAGCTACAAAAGGACCAGAAAATGTGTAAGAAGGAATAAGTAGCAGTAGTTGGTGAGAAAGAGCAGCTTGTGGACAGCAAGTATATAATATGGGTCACTTTTACATGGTGATAGTGGGGCAAATGATTAAATGGGGTTAAGACTTACAATAATACTTGAGTGAGTTTTGCAGTCAATTTGTGTATCTTGAAGAGTGAATGAAAAGGGCCTCTCATCTCATCCATCAAAGGCTGTTGGATGAGTGCCAGATAAACTCCCTGCAACAGTGTAAATTGTTTTTATTATTATTATTATTATTATTATTATTATTATTATTATTATTATTATTATTATTATTATTATTATTATTATTATTATTATTATTATTATGTGTGGGGTTAGCTTGGCTTTTTTTTTGGTGAGTAATTATGATTTATGCAAAGTGGGGTTGGTGTGGTGGTAGGAAATATTTGGAGTGTCAAACTACATCTCATATTATCTTGGAATTTCTTTCATAATTTGGAGTATTTACTTTTTTTTTTAAAAAATTATTATTTTATTCCATTAGAGACATTATGCAAATAATAGTAAAATATGTCACGCCCCCGTATTTAACGAAATCTACGGGTTTTTAACTCTGTTTTAATAAATACACAAAACCTGTTTATATTTAAGTAATTGGTGAAAATTATTTAATTTTTTATTTTATATAATTATTAATTTACCTTTATACCCTCCTAAATAGTGGGATTCAAACCGAGGTTCCAAAGGTAATGAGCATGACCCCCTAAACCACTGAGCCATATAGATTCTTGTGTAATTGTTGAAGACAACTATATTTACAATATCATACCCAAAGGAATTAATAAATAAAAAAAATTAAATAAATAAAATGAAAGTATAATAGGTAATATAAATTAAATAATAATAATATGTTTCAATAAATTAAATTAAAATAAAGTAATTAAAAATAAGTAAAATAAAGTAAGATAAAATTAATTATAGTAGCATGAATTAAAATTTAATAATTTAAATAAAATATTTTGTTTCCTTATTAAAATAATATTAATTATATGAATTTGTAAATGAATAATAAAAATAAAAAAATAAAATCAAAATAGTTAAAATAAGTAAACATAAGAATTGAAAAAAAAAAAATTCCCCTTTTCTCTTTGAACCCTAAACCCCTTTTCTCTCCAATCGTCCGAACCTCCGAGTGCCTGCAGCGTGCCTGCCCTAGTGGTTGGCTTGTCCCTTCGCCGACGGATGGCCTGTAGTTGCGTATCCTTCTCCAAGTTTCTTGTGCTGATGGTGGATCTCAAATGTCCGTCGGCCACACTCATCGTTTCTCGATCGCCTGTGGTGGTCTCGGCTGTTGGACTTCTAGGTCGCGTTGATGGTGGTTGGCCCGGTGCTCGACTTCATCTCTGCTCGGCCGCCGGTGGTAGGCTCGACTGTTGTGCTTCTGGATCGCGATGGGTTGCTAAAAGGTGGTGTATGGTTAGGGTTAGGTGCGACCCTGGTTGCTCGGTTCGTCTGAGACGAGTCGGCTGGGCTGAGGTGGGTCGATTCGAGCCCCTGCT